TGAGTGTACTACTCACATGATTTTTACTTCATGGCTTTGATATACTTGAAATCTATGACTTAAATGCTTGTGCCTACTGTTGAGATTGATTGAGACGAGGGTATACTTTATCACTCTCGCGCTCTATGTCTTATGTGACTGTTTACTGTATCAATTGAATGTAACTTGAATATACTTGAACTGGTGTCGTTTGGACGTGTATCCAACGACCTCTACTGTTAACACTGAGCTCAACCCCATTGGTGGTCAATTGAATCGAGCCAGCAAGGGCTTGGTCGAGAAAATTGACAAGCCATGGGGACTGTTTATGTGGAATACTTGAGTATGAGACTCTCGATTCCGGTATACTCGAGTATTACCATTTCTGAACTGATTGGAGTTTGGGCCCGATAGGGGTATGTGAGGTGGAAGGAATTGGAGAAAATGGGGTCTACGGTTGGTTACTCTTTGTACATTGACGGAGGGTCAATGAGGTGAGATCAAGTATGGCAAGCAAGGAAAAGGGCTCTTGAGAGCCGTCCGTATCCTTTTACTAATTTTTATTGAAATTTAATATTAGTTGACTCCTTTATTGAATGAATTTGGATTGATTGGCTTTATGCTTGTATGAACTTTGTTGTTTGGGTGATGGTACCTCATTGGGCGAAAGCTCACCCTATTACCTTTGTTTTCCTTACAGGGATTTGAACACCTTTTGGAAAACTATGATATTTTGCTGTCGAGTTGAGCAAGTTTAACATTCTTTTGTATAGCTCCTCAATGGATGGAAACCCTAAGTGTATTTTAATCCAACATCTTTTTGAGTTGTAAATTTGGAACCTTACTTGTCTAAACGTGTTGGGTAACGTTTGTATGTTATTTTGACTAGTACATGTCTAATTTCAAGGTTTATATGATTTGTTAGTGTTTGGATGGATTTCGGACAGGTTCGAACTTCAAACGGCAAAAGCAACAAATTTGACGGGAAAGGACAGAGGCGAATCCAGCCAAGAATCTGGCCAGAACTTGGCCAGATTGTAAAGACTCAAAAAAAATTTTTTTGTATTTAATTTAAACTCCAAATTCTAACTCATTTAATTATTTATTTGGCCAAATGCTCCGATTATTATTTTCTAACCTTTTTCGGCCTAATTAAATGTATCCATAGCTTAGTTATATTTTTAAAGTGTCTCGTTTCGAAATTTAATTTTTGAAGGCTCGTTAAGTGAAAATAGTAAATATGCGACTGGAGTAAATAATCGATTCGAGAATACAATACGTTTGGAAAAATTGGAGACTTGTACATTAGTCTCAAAATAGGTATTTTTATATTTAAGTGTTCAAAGGTTAGTTAGTTATATTACCGTCATAGGAATTTCTTAGAAATTTCATTATCTCGCGCTTAAATTGGAAATACGTTTTTTACGCACGCGAGTTATTGAGGAACCTTAGGCCATTATTTTGGGACGGTTAAGAGTGAATAATAATAATATGAAGCTGCATTAGAGGTTTAGTGCACTAGTGCAATAAACTCGCGAGGAATCGAGCCCGAAACGCACGCGCACATGCACTACTTTAGTGGACAGCTTTGAGTACAATTGAGCCACACGTTTAAGCTTACCATTAGAAGCTCATACCATCAGCATTCCCTTTCTCTAATACTCTCAAATAGCCGAGCAGCAAAGGAAGAACAAGACCAGAAAAATTCCTTCACCTTCTCTCCTCAATTCTTTGCACAATTCCCTCCAAATTTTACATTCAACCCTCAAATCACTTGGTGATGAAGATAAACTAGGAATGGAGCTGCCTCTCACGGTTTTTCTCCAGCTCAAAGTGACCAAAAATTTCTGTCTTGGCTCTCTAAGGAAGTAAGTAATGATCAACCACTTAATTCTTGTTTTATGGAAGATAGATTTCACTCATGAGCTCTTGGATTCTCATGGGCAGCTTTAAATTGTTGGAAAGTTGGTGAGTGGGCTCTATGAAATCCCACAATGACTTGGATGATCTGATTTGATAGGATTAGATGCTGATTGTGTTGATTAAGTGCTAATTTAGTAGAGTTAAGTGGCAAAAATGAAAAGGAAGTCAAATGAGGAGTTGCATGTGAAGATGCCGTTTCTGCCCTGCTATTTTCGTGCATTTTAGTGTATTTTCTTGAAGTCCAATTGACTTGTTTCTGATGCAAATGTGAAATATAGGTTGTGTTTAAAGTTTTCTCAAAATTTTACGTGATTTGGGAGAGTACATGTTGAGTTTTAGAATCTGCCAAAACAGGGAAATGATTCCCGTCACTACCAGACAGCCATCTTGTTTCGGCTATAATTCACCGCTTCGATGTCGGAATCGAGTGCCGTTTGCTGCACTGGAAACTAGATATTCCTATCTTTCATTTGATATAAAATGCAAGCCCTAATTCCACTCGAGGACCCCGTACCAACCATTTAAAAATGACTATCTTGTTTCTCTATTTTCCTGGAACGAAGTTCAGAAGCTACAACTTGAAGCTTGAATTTGAGCTAGTTGTGTGCTGAATTTCAAAATGATTTCTTCTGTGAAATTATAGCTTTATGAATATATATTCCAACGCCACCAACTATGCTCAATTTTAAGTTGAATTGAGTGATTTGAGATCAAAATACAAAATCTGCCATGTCCTTGAAAACCCTAAAATTTTGAGCAGAATTGATGTTTGACTTGGTATGGACTTGCCAATTGAGTTTCTTGGAGTTAAAATACTTACCAAATGTACCATGAATGTTCCTTAGGATTTTTCTACACAAATAAACCATGTTTGAAGGATTTTTCTTGGCCAAATGTTGGAATGGAAAACATAAAGCTCAAGACAGTTTTGCCTTAGGATTTTAAAAAATTTTGGTTGTTTGGTTGACTACCTTTCTGAAGTTATTTCTCCATGAAATTTGGTAGAGGGCCAACCCTTATTTGGTAGTATTATACTGCTAATTATGGTGTTATTCTGAGGTCGTTTCATGGCTCAAATAAATTACCAAAGTTCATGACTCGAGTTTGGAAAACCCATGTTTCACAAGGACATTTTGGTAACTTTGAGTTGCCATACCTTAGTACTCAAAACTCCGTTTCTTATACCGCTTGTTTTGTTGTAAACTTGGATTGTGACTCTAAAAGTGTTCCAAATCTCAAAAGCTAGTTCCAATCAAGTGAATTTTTCTGAATTTTCAAAGTTGGCCAAAACCAACCTAAATCTGCCTTAGAAACCAAAACAGAGACTTTGAGCTTATTTTTGAACATTTTCCATTTGAAATTTTAGAAAAATGTATTCTAGGAACTTTTAGTAGCTTGGAAGAGGTTTCCAACGGTACCAAGTTTTCCAATTTTTTATCTATAAAACGTGAGATATGATTTTTCAAATGTATCGTATCAAAACTGAAATTTTCCGAATTCCAAGGAAATGGAGTTTTTTTAAGTACTCCTTATTCCTTCGATATTACTTGAACGTTTTATACTTGATTTCCAAGATGAAAACTAAATTTATCTTGTACTTTGAAACCCCACTTGAGAGCCTCGATTTAGTATAATTTAGGTTCGTTTCACGAGACTTTCTAAGATTGTACTATGGTATGATCTTCGTTAATAGTAGGGGTTTGTGAATGATAGTCTATTGCTATTTGCTCAGGCGCACACGAGAACTTTCAAGAGAATCCTATAGTGAATGCCTAAAGCTCCGAGGGACATTTCTTCCTTTTACTTATATTGGTGAGTGTCAAGTGCATGTTTACTTGCACTTCGCTTGAGATTTGTTGTCTACATGAACTCTACTTGAACCTGTTGTTACTTGAACTGTACTTGTTGGGGAAACTGTGTACTTTACCACACTTTATCTCCTTTACTTGGATCAATACATGACTTGCTACATGAATTACATGAAATTGCTGGATCTTACATGTACATGACCTAAAGTCAAATGCAGAGAAAATCTCATCGACTAAAACTGGATTTGTTTCTGAAAACCTGACCTGTGGGGACGCCCAAAACCCAATGGTTATACCTCGTAATCTCGCAGCCAATGGTGAGGTCTTGGTCGGGAGAACTTGGTAAATCTTGGGACCTGAAGCTTGATCTTTTGAGATCTTGCTTGGCATACTGGTATAGTATCGCCTTTACATGCCTGTTGGTTACGGATCCGAGGGGGTGAAATGATGGATGGAGAACTACGGATTGGAAATACCAACCCGGTTGACGGAGAGTCATCGCGGAAAGGTATACGAATGACCCTGGCAATGCAAGTGGAACTTAGCTCCTGAGAGCTACCTTATCCTTGAATTGTTTCTGTTTACATTTCATTTGAATTGGCAATTACTTGTACTTTATTATTTGACCTGTTAATTGGGCTTGTTATTTGGACTATGTGATTGCATGTGTGTCCTTGGCCTCACGAGCGTTTTTCTCACCCTGTAGATTTGTTTTCCTTAACAGGATTTGGCATGGAATGGTACTTGGAGGAACTCTTTTGATACACTTCTGGCTTAGGGTTTTAATATATTTTGGGCTAGACCTCTTACTGGTTATACTTCGGAAACCTAATATGTGGTTTGGATATTTGATGTACCCGAATGAAGTATATTTTGGGTATTGATGTATCTTTTGGGAATTTAATGTAATGATTGGATAAGCGTTATGTATATTGTTAAGTTTGGAAGTTTTTCGCACTTTCTTACTTATCTAGTGTTGTTGAATGATTTTACTTTAAGCTTGAATGGAAACTGCTTGAGTCCTGGCGAGAGCTAGGTAGACATCTCGTGGATACCCTCTGGTTCGCCTTAGGGAGAAGTGGGGGTGTCACAGTTGGTATCAGAGCCCTAAGTTAGAGATCTATATAGGATACGTACTAGATACTCTACCCTTAAGATCTGAGACTGGACAACTTAGTCATACCTTAAGTAATATTTGGGTGAACTAGTGACTGAGTTGGACATACCCTAAGTGACATCCGTGCGAGTTAGCGATTAAGGTTCTAACCAAAAAGTGTAATTGTTTTGCAGGGATGGAAAATTGAAACGGAGCCCCGACAACTAACGGGAATGGCCATGCTAATGGTCATGTAGAGCTTTCTAGACCCATTTACTACCGAGCTATTAGGGGAGGAGCTCGTGTGCGATATAAGCCTTATGATAGATATCCTCGTTGCCCATGTAGGGTGACATTTGCTTACCCGAACCACATTGTGCTAGCATTGGACGACGAGCGTCGTTAGTTGGTGACTGCCAACTTAGACTTACAGGCAGAGGTGGATGAGCTTAGGCAGATGGTTAGTGCTCAGGGCGAGAGGATCGTTGAGCTTGAGGAGGTAGTACAGGGCGAGGTGGCTACAGCTGCAGTTGTTCGTGAGGAGCTCCAGAGTACTAGGGCTCGACTCACTAGATTAGGAGAGGAGGTCCGTGATCGGGCTTCCGGGATCATGGCTGATGCCACTGAGATGTTAGAGGGAGTGGCGGATATAGTTCAGAGCCCGGTCCAGGAGGAGGACCCTGAGGAGGATCCTGAGAAGGAGATCTTGCTTGGTAGTCCTGCTGTGGACTAGGCCGCTAGTGATCGACTTTTTTGCCCTTTTGACTGGTGTAGACAGGATTAGCAGGGCTGATGCTAAGTACTGAGGCCGTTGTATTTTGTATGACTGCGTGGCCAATTTTTGTGGCACTTGCTTTTACTATAGTCTTTTGTGACTAAAAGTACTATTGTATCCCTTGCGTGCTATATTTTTGTAATTTTCTCATGACTTGCTAGTTGTATGAACCTGAAGTGATAATGAATGTAAATTACTGTTATTTTCAATACTCTCATGATTGGTTCTTGTTTTAAGCATTTTCTCGCGAAATTGATTCATTTCTTGCACTAGGCATACCTAGGATAATGGATGGACGAAGGAGTGGTCGAGGCTGTGGGCAAGGCACTGAACAGGCCCAACCTCATGGAGATGACCTGGGATCAGCAACTGGACCTACCCAAGGCCCGGAAAATATTGAGGAAAATCAAGTGGCTACTGCCATCAATAGGATGACTGACATCCTAGAACACTTAGCTGATAGGCAAGGTCCTGGACCACTTAACCAACCTGGGGAACGGGAAAGAGGAGAGGACCGAGCCTTAGAAAGATTTTTGAAGTTTAATCCGCCTAAGTTCATTGGTGAACCCGATCCTGAGGTGGCGGAGAATTGGTTGGAAAGAATGACCAATATATTCGCCGCCTTAGATTATACTGAAGATAGGCAAGTGAATTTTGCTGCTTTCCAATTTGAGGGAGTGGCTCGTGTTTGGTGGGACATGATAAAAGGAAAATGGGAGAGAGTTCAAACCCCTTGGACTTCGGAGAATTTCACGAGGGAGTTTAATGAAAAATTTCTTCCACCTCTGATTCAAGAAAAAAGGGAGGATGAATTTATCAAGTTGAAACAAGGGACCCTTAGTGTAGCTGAGTACGAAGGGAAATTTACTAAACTTCTAAGTATGCCCCTGAATTGGTAACCAATGAAAGGAAAAGGATAAGGCGGTTTGTGCAGGGACTTAACGTAGAGATTTAGGAGGGCTTGGCTGCAGCTCAAATTTCACCTTTACTACTGGACTTTAGAGAAAGCGCAACGAGTGGAAACTGCAAGATGCAAGTTAAAGACTTTTACAATAGGAAGAGGAACTTTTCTAGTCGTACTTCTGGACAGACTAGTAAGAGTTCACAGCCTTCTAAAGTTGGAAGAGGAATGGGAGGAATAAGGACTACTGGACCTTCTAGGGAGCTTTATCCAGAGGAGGTCGTAGTGGATCGGTTCATATTAGGGGAGCGCCTTCTAGTGGTTCAGCCGTGACCCTCAAATCACTTGTGGATACTGTGGAAAATCCAACCACTCTGAGAATGAATGTTGGAGGAAGTCTGGGAAGTGTTTGGCTTGTGGTAGCATGGAGCACCAACTTGTGAACTGTCAAGTAAAATGAAGATTGGAGGTAACACTCAGTGGCTAGAAAAGTCAACCTCCAAATAGACAGTGCTGGAGGAAGTCGACCGAAGGTACCGCTAGGGTTTACACACTGGATCATCAGCAGATACCAGATGCAACTGAGGTGGTTGAAGGTACGGTTCCATGTCTTCGACCGTTTGCTAAGATTTTGTTTAATCCGGGTGCAATCATTCTTTTGTAAACCCTAATTTCATGAATGGTGTAGACACCAAATTTTTGGTGTTTTATTATTTATTTATTTATTTACTATTCATTTTTATTTGTTCTATTTTTATTTGTCACATTTAGTTTTATTTACTTTTAGTTTTAGTTATTTTAGCCATTTTAGCGTAGAATTTCTCAAAGGAAAAAGAAAAAGTGTTAAAAAAAAAATATGTTGTAGTTGTTTTGGATTTAGTTTCATTATTTAAAAATGAAAAGAAAAAATGAAAAATTGAAAATGAAAAAAAAGGAAAAAGAAGAAAATTGCTCACAAAATATCTTTATTTCTTTTAAATTCAATCTTTTACCATTTTATTTATTTATTTTTGTTTTAATTAATCTTTAAAAAAAAAAAGAGAATACGCTGTTTTCAAGTTGCGTTTTGTCGCAGCTTGCAAGGGAGGATCGGCAGCCCTTGGATGCAAATACAGAAGAAGTTGCTAAGGGTTTTAGGGTTGGAGATTCTGGTATAAAAAGAAAACAAACCAACAGCCGCAAGACAGAGAGGAAATAGAGAGGATTGACAGCCGCAAATGGAGAGCAGGGAGAAGTTTGGAGGGCCGAGGAAAGAAAGCAAAAAGGGAATGGCTGGAGAGATTGGGAAGGCAAAAAAAAAGAAAACCCAGAAGAGAGAAAAGGGCAGTGGGGATTTTTGAGAGTGAGGCTGAGAGCTGTGACGATGAGGGAAGAAAGGAACCAAAAAAGAGACGGAGAGAGGTCATTTGGCAGCTGAAGGGAAATAAACAGCAAGGGCCTGACGAGAGAGGGAGTGAACAACGGCCAAGGAAACTAAACAAGAGAGAGCTGCGGGAGGGCTGATGAAGCAAGAAAGTGGCGCTGAAAGGTTGGAAGTAAAAGGAACCTGGGTTTGGCAAGCCGAGAGTAGAGGTATGAGACGGCTAGAAACCAGGAAAGCGGGGGAAAGCAAAAGAGGGAGGAAGGATCTGGAAAAGGAGGAGAGAGCCGAGAGATAGAGAGCTAAGAGTGAGGGGCGGCTGCTTGAGCAAAGAAGGAAAAAACAACGAGAGAGAAAGCTGGAGTGGAGGAAGAAGATCTGAATCAAAAAGGAAAGCTTCGGCAAGAAAACCAGAAAAGGAAAACGCAAGGAATTCCTCTGCGAAACCCGCAACAAAGCTGATCTTTCAGCCTGCCTTCGCAAAGATTTTTTTCTTCCCGACCCAGCTTTATTCATGAAGCCATCAATTTCTGTTCAATCTACAAGGTGATGGGAGCGATTTCTGTTCAGACATCTGGAGGGAAACACCACTGGAGGCTCATCAAATCTGGCCACAAACTGGCGCCTTCATCAATCTTGGAGCACCAGCGACGAAGCTTGCGACTTCATTTCTGGAATCAGTGCGACTTATTGGAAGGCTTCCATGGTCAATCTGCTTTGAAAAGGGTTCAAGGTAACCTTAAGCTCTTCCTTGGGTATTAATACAGTTGTTTTATGAGAATCCGAGACTGAAAAGTAGGAATGCCATGAGGTTTTGCTTTTGCTTTGATGGACATGTTCTCTGGCTCTTATCTCATGTCGATTTTTTTGATGACTCTCTGGTTGTGGTTCCTTTTGTGTTTGTGCAAATTCTAATGTTAGATCCAAGTAAAGGTTATACATTTTGCTATTTTAGAAGATGATTTTGCATGACTTGTTTTTTGGTAATGAAACCAGAAAATTACAGAAAATTTCTTGCCAAAAGCTCGCACGTTTAGATGATTGAACTTCTGTGTTTTTCGTTGCTTAAGATCAAAGCCTAATGCCTGGTTCAGATTTTTCTTACACACTTGCACATTGCACTGAAAAACCGAGGAATTGGAAGAAAAGCTTCATGCTTTTTCTTATGTTTTGCTGTCTTTCTTCCAAAAACCGCCCACTGTTGGGTTTTTGCCGCATGATTCGTTATCCAAGGCTCATATTTGGGAGATAGAATTTGATGTTTTGATGTTTGAGTTGAAGAATCCTGTCCAAATCTGTGTTATATGTTTAAAGGTTAGCCGGATAGATGGACTCCTGTAGTTTCAAAAAGTTTCAGCCAAGGTGCTGAACTCTGTTTGGAAATTCATATTTTTCAGCCCCACTCTACCCTAGATTTTCTTTGTTTGTATGTTCAATCTTGTGTTGGATGATGGTTTATGAAGTTTGGCCAGTGTTTAAGTTCGAAGCTTTGTTTAAAATCATTGCACGTTTCCTGGGTTGTTAAATAGACTGAAGTTATAGAACAAAAATGAATAAGAAAGCAAGCTTTTACGTAAGTTTGACTCCACCAAGGCCCAAAATAAAAGAAGTCATTCAATTTGATCCCTCTCGAATGTCAATTTCCTTCAGTGTGTTTTAATTTGTTTTTGAGCAGATTGCTTAGGGTTTTAGGATGGATTTTGAGTACTTAATGTGTTTTTGATAAATTTTAGCTTTGATTTGGATCCTTAGTGGAATTTTGGGTATTTGCGATTTGAATATAGTAAATTGATTTTATTCAATTTTGTGGATTTTATGATTGATTTTTAGAGATGTCGCCTTAAGGCTTTAATTTTAATTTCTTTCCTATTCAATAAATTAACCCCTCCTTGAACTTTCTTTTCCCTTCAATGAGATCCTTGTTGGATGAATATGAATTGTTTAGTTTGTTTGACTATCTCGAGCGATTCAATTTCATGTTATTTTCATTTCATGTGATTATTTGTTAATTAAAGTGGTACCCTGACCTTTTTATTATTTTGGAGGGTAAATTAGTAATTTCGCCTCATTTAAGGCATCAACTCAAGGGAGGTATAACTTCTTTTATCTTTCTTGTCTCCCCTATGTGATCCAATGTGTTAAGTGAGAATTGCATGTTTATTTTGCTTTCCTTGTTTTTCTTTCATTACTTTCATTTACTTCATTTACTTTTACTTTCATT